CTTTAAAGTGCTAGATCTATTTAGATAAGCTAATATATATTATGTTCGCTGTGCAACCGAGTTTTGTACGACTGTGTAATGTGCTGTTCAAGTTGAATGCACTCTTTAAACACGAAAGAACGATTGACTGAGGCAAGCCGAAAATTGAATACCCTTAGAGATGCGTGGCTTAGAGATATTTTCGAATCTTCCTAAAATTCTTACATTTAGATATAGTAGCCCGATGCTGGCAAGATTTAGATAAGAATAGACAGACGAATGCACGGGCATGGCTATATTGACCCGACTGTCGATCATGATCAGGAATATATACATATACCATAAGGAGTCGAAGACTCCTCTGTTGCATGCCTCGTGTGAAAATTGTGATACTCTCTATACAAAAACTATTTATGAATTGGGAAAAGTGCAGAAATATTGCTGCCAGCTGCTGTTGGCAATGTTAAATGCGACGCTGTTGGCGCACCTGTGAGACAACAACTTTTTGCAGCCACTGTCGCGCATTGCATCAGCGTGCAAATATGCAGCTGGCAGAGGCGAATGAAACTAACTTTAAAGCCAATGGAAAACTTGCGCTTGGGCCACACATGCGCAGTAGCCGAAACAACAACAACAACAACAACAACAAATAGGGCTTAAATGTGGCCAGTTTTGGGCTTTTTGGGTGTTTAGCGCTTTCTTGGCTAGGCCAACACGTCTGCCTGTTTGTCTCTCGGTCTGTCCCATGATTATAAACACAAAAACTACAAAAAGAAAAAACAAATTAATATGCATTGTTGCAGGCGCTTTATTTGGACTTTCACTTTTTGTTTTCATTTACAGAAACAACAACAACAAAAAAAAAAAGACAGAAAAGAAAAGAAAATAACTTTAACATATGCCCATGTTTATAAGTCTTTCAATGAGTCTCAATCCGCGAGCTGCTCTTTAAATTTATTTCAATTACAAATGATATTTTCATCGTGCAACAAATTAAGACATTTCCAATGACGCCTCCGAGTTTGGGGGGCGTCTGATTGGAGCTGATTTGGCAGCCGGGTTAATTGCTGTCGCTTTCGAGCGCATTAGGCGCCCAAGTGTGGAGGGGCTGAGCATTGGGCAAGCATAACAACGGCTAAAATCAGAGTTACGCACTCTCGATTGCGCAATCATACATTTTTAAGTCGGTTTTTGGCGTGTGGCGTTTTTCATGGCATGCGAAAGTAAATATTTTTACGGCCCGCTTTGCCACTTCCTGTTTAAGGCCTTTAAATATAAATCGTCCGATTCATTAATCATGTGTCTGGCAGTCGGGCATTAGGCGCTGGAGCCACCAGTTAAATGCACCTGCTGAACTTATGAAATGGGCCAAAGAAAATTGGAATTAGTTTGCCACAGGGCTTTATGCGGTTAGGTCTGTAGATTATGAGCTCTTTAGGCTTAAGCTACTTTTCCAATCAGTTTTTTTTTTCCGTGTAAGCTAGCAAGCTATAGATGTTCATTTGAACCAGCTCCCAATCTCAGGCTAAAGCAGGGCTGTTCTAATATCATGGTTAAAAGACAGCTCTATAAATAAACAACGTCTTGAGCTTCTATCTGTTATCTTTATTTATAAAGCTGTTTGCCTAAATGATTGACCGACTGCCTGCTGAATGCTTAACTTTTTCAACTTCTTTAATTTATTTGTGTGTATGTATGTGTGTGTGTAGGTTCTTCTTTACCACACCTACCACACCTGAGCTCCATTTAAAAACAAAAACCGTATTTGTTATCATCGCCCTTCTATGTGATTATCATGAATTCAAGTAAGCCTGGCTGCCTAAAGCCTAATTAACTTTGTTTTATGTTCTTACACTAATTTACTGTTCTCTTAGTTATGTGTAAATGTAAAAGCCTTTCTATCTCTTACTAATAAATGATAATGAAATATTCGTGACTATTTATTTTGAATAAGTACATATTAGTATATTATTATTCTAAAAATATAGTAAATTATTCAAGTCCGTTCCTTATCTAAGATTGGTAAATTTATTTAAACAATAAACTATATTTAAGATTCAATTAGTTTTAAAAATATTATATTAAAAAGTGTTTCTGCTTCATGTTTCTAGCTTCTATTATGACAATAACATTAACAACAGCAATAACTATTATAATTATAATTAGATTCAATCTCTACAATTTCTATCAGTATTAAATGTTCATTTTTGTTTTTAATTAAGTTGAGTTAAGTTAAAAACAATGGATTAAATGATACGTTTAGGGACTGTTCAGTTAGGAACTCGGCATTGTTGCAATGACAATCCCAAGCTAATCTAATCGAACGTGGCCCACAAGCAGCTCCTAAGCCACAGAGACGAAGAGACTTTGGCTTGACAGAACTGAGACTGGCGATTAGGCGATTAATTGAAGCCCAAGGGGCACATGGAACGGTCAGGCAGCTGGACAATTGCACAGCAGACGTGGTCAGACGTGCAGCGTATTCGATTTCCGCTAAATGGGCAGCACTGCCGCAATGAAGAAAGAGATCTAATGGATTCGCAGTAGTTCCAATGAAATGTTGCCAATGAATTGCGGGCAATTAAGAAAGGGAAGTTAGGTAACATTTGTGAGAACGCCAAGCAGCGCTTAGACACACACTTACACACACACACACACACACACGCTCTTGTTGTGTGTAGGTCTTCCTGCAGACAGCGGCTTGATTTTAATTACTGACCAGTGCAGTGAACTTGGGGCACATTACAATTGGCGGCGGTAATTGAAGCAACGCACACCTGAAACTCAAGATGGCTGTGAGAAATTGCGTTGGGCGCAGAGCGCAGAGCGCAGGGCATGGGCTAGTTTGACTTGTGTGAAAGTGCATAAAGAGTTGGCCCAAGTTCGAATTACCATAAAATATGCAATGCGTTCGCTTGTTGAATGCGCAACACGCAGGTGACCGTAACCCGAGCGCGCTGGCAAACTGCAGATACATTTTACAGATACATTTTACAGATACTCGTTCACCTTGAGTCTGTGTTGGATTCGTCGCATTTATATTTTATTTCAGTTTTATTAGCGCTCAGCTCCGACCATTGTTTGCATAGCCAAATCAATTTGAGACTTGGCACCGCGGTCAAGTTTGGGTTTTTGGGCCCACAAAGCAAACGAAGAAGAAGAAGCAGAAGAAGTTTATCAAATTACGTTAACGCATAAACGTATCTGTTAAGTGGGTCAACAGTGCACGACGCCGCCAACTTGGCAGCTCGCTGAGCTTTTCTGTTGGCCAAATTTGCGTTTTTGGCTACTTTTTTCAAATTGAAATTTTACGCTTCAAGTGCTGCCAATTGCCAGGTGGCGCCCTCTGGCGACCGTTGCGACTTCCTTTCAATTCGATGTGGGGTATTTCTTTTATGCGTCTCTCTGTACTAATTGAATTATGTTGCACATTTCGACTTGGGCTTGCTTCATGCTTGATGTGTTCTTCGAGCCGGCTTGCAACAACATTTGTTAGACTTTATGCGGATGTTTGGTAACTGAATTATTTACAAAAACTTTGTTACACATTTGTCTATTCGATTGGCAACACTATTTTGGCAATAAAATAGCTAAAAGGAACGGCCAAAAGTGCAGCCAAGTTTGCTGAACATTTGCAAATTCATTTTCATTGTAATGTTCTTTTTAACATGTTTATTTATCGGCTCTGCCTTATAACATATTCGTTGCTCTTATCCCAACGAATAATGCAACTGCTATTGAGCCTCTCTCGAATTGTTTAAACAATTGCAGTGCATAATTAATATGCCATTGTCTATAAAGTATTTCTCTCTGTGAGAACTCAATGGCACCTAAAAGTTAAAGTTCAAAGAGATATTTTGTCTCATTATACACTTTTAATGTTTAATCAGCTTTCGATTATATTGTACTATCGAGAGAGAGCATGAATACTCTGGGCTAGAACGACTCTTTGATGCTCTTTATGCACATAGATATAGAAAAAAGAAAATAGTTTATAAAAAAAACATTTAGATAGACTCTACTATAAATATCGAGCATAAATATATGAAGAATCAGAGAAGCTGTGACATATTCAAAATACCCTTTGGTGCCCAGTTTCAGGCTACAGGGTGTAGAGCTTCAGCACAAGACAGATTAACGTTCGACTTGAGTTGAAAACAATTTAACTATGTAGCTAATTGCAAATGGAGCAAAAAGTGAGTCGACAAATCTTGCTAAAATCAGCACAAAAGCCCCATTTAACGAGAAATAAAAATCGAATTTTTCGATTCTTGCATATTTCCCCCACAGTCCGCCGCTTTTCAATAAACAATTTGAATTGCTTTAATGATTTTCCTGTTTGATAAACTCGTTCGGCAGCCGCAGCTTGCGAAACTGCTGGAGTGGAGGGTTAGGGAGAGAGCACGAGTTTCAAGATCAAAAAGCGAATGGCAGAACTGCGCTAAAGAACGATAAGAAATTGCAAGAAAAACAAGAAAATAAAAAACAACAAATGGGCTGCGGAAGTATTTGCGAGCCTTTCACTGCACCAAAACAGAGTCGAAAACGAGGAGCAGCAAAAAAGAAATATTAAAGGTAAAACATGTGAAGACCGCAAAGAAATGACGCGCAAATGACAATTGAAAAGTAGCACAAGATGCAACGGTAAAAGAAGGAGAAGGCAAGCGAAGATGAATGGGAGATGGGCAAGGCAGGGGGGGCGCAGTGCTGGACAGCATCAGCAATCAGAGGAGCTGGCAACGACGCAAAAGCGTGTGCGTATCCACCACTAAGCCTTGGGTTGGGCATTGGGCGCGCTGGGGGTGGCTGTTGGGCGGCTGTTGGGCGGCTGATTTAGGCGCAGGGCGTGGGCAAGTAAAGGGGGTGGCGACGGCTGCTGAGAACAGTGGCACAGGCAGCAGAAACAGGAGCAAGCTCTCTGCTGCGCTGCTTGTTCATCTCTTTTGATTTATGCATGCGCACACACACACATACACATACACGCATATAAACACCCATGTAAAACTAAAAGTCAAGCTTACCTGTTAAGTGTTAAGCACGCGTTGCAAGCGAGCTTATTGAATATTTAAATAGGGAAGGCGTCGAGGTCCTGTTGATGTTTAAGCTGCAATGATTTGGGAAATTTTAGAGCATTTATATCGCTTGCCGTACATTTCGTTTGCTTTATAGCGGATTTGCATGCATTATGAAAAATATTTTAGCCACAGCCAACAAAATATTCTTGTTTTTAAATTAAAATTCTGCCAGTATATTAATAATTTACTAAATATATAATTCAATTAAAAATTCGTGTTTATTGATAATCGGTTGAGTTTTGTTGTGGATTGTTTGGGCCCTGATGTTAGCTGGGCTCTGTTTTGATTGAGCGCGCGCAAAAATTTATACACAAAATCAGCAGCACACACACACGCACACACAAACACACATACATAAAGGCGCGTAGGCACCCAGAAGAGACGCACCGAGAGCTTAGGCGAGACGTATGCTGGAGGCTGAGAGAAGAAGAGTAGAGAAGCCTCTGTAGCAGCCAACTCCCGCTTGAGCGATTCCAGGCACACACACACACGCACGACAACTGCGACGGCAACAAAAACAACGTCGACACCAACAACAATTCCGACCACGACAACAACGACGACCGACGGCTGCAAACTGCGCGATGCTTGCTTTCAATACTCCGGACTCAGATCTGAGCTTAATAGAGAATGCCACAAAACTGTGTCGACTGTTTGGCCCGTGCGCACGAACTGAAACTGATGGGCCCAACATCAGAGCTGGAGAGCTGGAGCTCAAAAGCACAAGCTCAAAGAGCTAACAGCAGGGGCGTAGTCAATAATTTCGAAAAGGGAATCTGCAGAATAAGCTGAAGCGCATTTATACAAAATTAAGTGGCTTAACCATACTTGAAAATATAAGAAATATGTGTATAGGAAGTCTGAAATAACATATGGTTACATATGGTTGCATTACACTGTGATAAGGTTAAACATACCAAAGTCTCCCGCTGGCAACGCCTCTGGCCGGCTGCACAAGCACAAGCACGGCCACCAATCATAAAAATAGCAGGTTGGGCCAGCTGAAAACTTTCAAGCAGCTAGCAATAACAAGCGCGGTCGCCGCTTGCAACCGAGAGCTTTTGGCGGCTCTGGGTAAATGGCTTGTAAGTGCAGCTTTTGAGTTTGGTGTGGTGAATTTCTGGCCAACGGCGTTGCCAGACTGTTCGGTATGGTATTACAGTGGCGCCTTTGTTTTGAAACTTTGAAAGCTTTTAGCAAATTGTTGAACAACGCTACTTTGTAGCGTTCAGTCAGAATATTGTGAAATAATTATTTAGCTAATAATAATATTGAAATAATCGAAAAGTTACATAATGAATCATATGGACGATTGTTTTGCGGGTGCGCGGCAGGATTTTCTCATATGCGTCACAGTGCATAAGGCGGCGGAAACAGGCGTGCCCGTTGGCGAACTCTATGTGAAAATCAGTTTGGATAAAATGTCGAAAAATACGAAAACCCAAGCGAATTCAGAGAATCCATTCTTTAACGAGGTAAGCCACATCCAATTCCTCACATCTCAATTAAATATATTTTAATTATTATTCCCTTGCAGTATTTCGTGTTTGAGTTTCACTGTACTCTCACGGAGCTTTTGCGCCTGACCGTGCTCTTCGAGCTGAAGAGGTATATGATCTATAAGAAGAACGCGCTGGTGGGGGAGTTGATGATTGACCTGCACAGCGTGTGGAACCAGCCGAATCACAGCTACTTCAAGCGATGGGGTCGCCTGGAGCTGCCCATCGGGGAGAACACCCCAGAGCACGGCAATAAGGAAATGGGCGGCTACTTGCAAATCGACTTGGCCATCGTATCCCAGCACAGCGCCTTGAAGACGGGTCTAGGCCCGGAACAGGATGGTGCAGCGGATGCCGTTGTCAAGTGGCCAACGCATCACGACTTTGATGACATTAAGGGGTAAGTGGTTGGGAGTGCATGAATTGCTTTGTAAACCGCATTCCCACAGCAACCTGCTGGAGGACACGGACTCGGATACGTTGAGTAACATTCGGTATTTCATCAGCTTCTTTCGTGGCATATTTACGAAGAAGAGCAGCTACCTGATACAAGTATCGTTTGCTGGCTTCAAAGTATCGTGTCTTAATGCATTGACTTGGCTTTTGTTTTTTTAAAGTACAGATTCCATCCTTTCAAGGGCAAAACGCATGTGGCCAAAAACACAATGACACCCGTGTGGAACCAGGAGATCAGCTTCGCCTGGGTCTATCCATCGTTGGCCCAACGGTTTCTCATACTGGTTATTATGCAGGAGCATCTTCAGTGGAAATGCGTGGCCGAATACGAGATGTCATTCGAGGACATTGCATTTAACAGTCAGTTTGAAATTAAAATTTTCTCTGTTGCCATTTAATCATGATGAATTTTTGCAGACAAGCCTTCCTTTGGACCGACCTATCTACATTTGTACGATCCTGTCAGCCCCATGACCTATGTGGGTCGCCTTCTGATGGAACTGCGCTCCGAGACACTCGCCGAAGGTCAGCCCACCCATGTGCTGATCTCCCAGTCCGTGCCAGCCCCAACAAACTGGATGGATAAGCCATTTATTGTGGAATTTTTGCCCATACTGGGCGATCAAATACTCACCAACGCCGGTCAGTATAAGTTTATGATCAAGCTGGCGGAGAACGTTTCCAATGTGCTTGAGGGCCAGCTAAAGACGACGCCGGGCAAGTTTCACTCGATGATGCACACGAAAAGCTTTCGCCAGGAGTCGCCCTTTCATTCCTGCATGCTGGATGTCAACCTACCCGATAGTCGCATCAAGTTTGAGGCTGATTTCTTTATGATCGACATAGCCAACTACATAGTAGGTGGTACTTAGATAAGGATTACCTAAAATCCTTTATCTGAATTCTCTATCTTTTTCTCTCCTTTGTAGAGCTCCGAACTGGCCGTCTTTAAGATCTTTCAGATCAAGTTCCCCGATCGGCTGCAACATCAAGCCAAGTGCCTGAAGCATATCATAAACAGCACCTTGGAAAGAATCCTCGACAGCGTCCAGTTGCATCGATTTGACTATGACATGGGTGCGGAGTGCACCACCTGGGACGTGAATAGGCAGCAATATTTGCTGGAGTACTTTAAAAAGGTGCCCCGTGATTTGCGTGCCTTGCGCCAGAAGCTAAAGTCCAGTTATCCGGAGCACCTGCATGCCACCATAGTGGACATTGTGAACGATCTGCATCGCGTTATTGGCGAAATCAGCGCCCTGTCCAATCTGATGCATGTCCAGGACGACTGGCCGGAGCTATTGCTCACCTTGCACGCGGGTGGCAAGGAGATCGGCGTCTGCCGCCTGAACGCCAAGCACTTTCTGAGCCTGCAGAAACGCGAGTTCAACCAGGCGAGCAACCATTGCTGGAAGGTCAAAAGCTTCCTGTTCAAGAGCCCCAGCTGCCTGCACACCTGCGCCAATTGCGGCTGCAATGTGGGCATTGTTCTCGGCTGCTTGTCCATTGTGCTGGAGCGTGAGCGCCACGAGTTTTTCTCCTGCATTGCCGGAGAATGGGCGTCGCCGGAGCCGATGGCCTGGCTGCCGAACGTGGTGCAGACCTTCTTTCGCTGTCACGTCTATGTGCATCAGGCCAAGGTGCGACCGTCGGGCATGGAGAACCGCATCATCTGTGATGGACACATACGTGTACTCTTTGCGGCCCAAGCCGCCGAGACGCACACAACTCCGGGCACCTGCTCTCCTACCTGGGATGCTGTGATCACCATCAAGGGGCTGACCTTGCCGGGCAGCATCAGTTGGTATCTGCAGAATCCGCCGATGATCGGCGTGGAGCTGTTCAATTCCGAATACGACGTCGTGGGCAGTGGCCATATTGTGGTGAGTGTCATTCCGGACGACAACGATATGGAGAACAGTCGCGGCGATGAGAGCCGTTGCTGGGGCCGTAGTCCAGTGCACAAGATGAAAAAGTTGAAAAATGTCTCACCCCCACCGCTCAAATGGGTGTCCATGGCCAAGAATGGCATGGTCCAGGCCGAGGTGCTGATGTCCGTGGAGTTCAAGGAGCTGGTCGGTGACTCCCAGGCCTACGGGGACAAGCAGCCGGAACTGAGCACAGGCATTCCAGCGGACATACGACCCAACGTACTCAACTACATGTGAGTCCCAGTCGAGCCTCAATCACAGCTCTCTTCAATCTCCATTCAATTAGACTCGAGGTAATCTTTATCGGGCTGCGCAACTACACCAAGATGGGCATGACCATGGCGGGCAAGCGACGTGCCAAGGTCATCATGGCCGATCTGGTGCTCTCCAGCGGTCTATCCACATCGCGCGTGCGCAACAGCATCAACTTCCTCGTGGCCTATGCCTCGGGCGTGGTGGTATGTTCCCTTAAATGTCCAACTGTCCAGTCGCTTAATAATCCATATCTGCGCCACAGAGCCTGCCCGATCAGCAGGAGTACTGGCCGGCCATGATAGCCACCGACGTGATGGTCAACACCTTTTGCAATGAGTCCACGCTGGGCGCTGCACTGATACCCCCCTCGCCGAGCTATCTACAGAAGGAGCGCAGGTGCAGGAAAAGGTCTGGCGAAAGCTCTGCTGGAACCTCCACGGTCATTGTGGATAACGACGATGATCTGGTCTTCGAGGAGACGGAGGACGACAAGGAGGAGCCGCCCGCCCAGGTGGACAGCTACTGGAAGCGCATCAAGATCGCATTGGGCATACGCACCGCTGCCTATGCCAACAAGCAGGCGCTCAAGTATGAGGAGCACACCAATGCGAGCGATCTGCATGACGACAGCCGTTTCACCTGGTGGACCAAGTTCTACAATTCCATGTACATTGATCCAGACGAGATTGCGCATCAGTGCAAGCACAGGCTGGTCATCTATACCACGGAGCTGGAGCAGCAGCCGCAGTTCAGTTTTTTGCAGGATTGGGCTGTGCCCGTGCCGCTGGTGCACGGCGTCAAGTTCCGGAAGCACGGCCCGCCCAAGGAGGATGTATATGCCACATTGAAGCTGCAAATCAAGCTGACGCCCTGCCAATGCACGGCACCGGACGAAGCTGGTGGCGGTGGCGATGGCGATATGCTGCGCCCACTGGCCGCCGCCATGAATCCGCGCCACCAAACCCTGATCAAGGCCCTGACGGATGCGTTCAAACTCACGGTTAGGGTATATATTGTTCAGGGTCTGCAAATACGGCCCAGAGATTGGGTGTCGGATTCGGATTCGTATGTGAGGCTGACGCTGGGCGGCAAAATGGTCTCGGATCGGGCCCACTATGTGCCCAACCAAAGTAATCCCGTGTTCGGGCGCTTCTTCGAGCTGAACACCTCGGTGCCCGCGGATCCCATACTCGAGGTGGCTATTTATGATCACGACAAGCGCAAGGATGAGATCATTGGCTGCACACGCATCGATCTGGAGGATAGATGGCAGACCAAGCATCGCGCCACAGTGGGCATTCCGCAGGAGTACACACACATCGGCTACAATCAGTGGCGCGACAAGGTCCTGCCCTCTCAGCTGCTAATCAATCTCTGCCAGCAGCGTGGCATCCAGCCGCCCTACTTCTATGGCAATGTCATCGAGGTGGACGGCATGCTTTTCGGGGATGAGACCATCATTTCAAAATGTGAGTACTTGCCCTTTGTTTAAGCTTTAGTCTAAACTCATCTAATCCCTAGCTGAGGAGCTGCAGGAGC